TGAAAGTGGTAGTATTTTTATTACTTTGTTATAGAGGCATCAAACTTTATTTTGTCTGTCCATAGTCTGCTTTCTGGGACTTGCAGGTCTTGGAAAGATTTGGAGTGTGCTAACAATGCTGAACCAAGGCTTCCATGACAAGTAGTTTTCTTTTCTAGAGACAACCAAAACTGATCTTTTTTTCTTGTCACAGAACAGCAATTAAAATGGCTTGAAAATTTGGAATTTCTGCATAAATTGGGCATTGTAAGAAGTCTTCCACTTTGTCTTTTGTTTGTGGGAGGTCAGGTGCTAGGAAGGCTTGTGAAATGCTTATTTTGTTTATACAACTGAAAGTTAGAAAATATCTAAAATTCTATTCAGGCTTCCCACTGGTAAGGACTAAAGAAGAGAAGACAAAATTATAAGGAAAGCCTTAAACCCTATTTTGACTCTAAAGGCCTGGAGAGCTAGGACTTGCATGAAGTATGGAACTCTGGAGACCCTTTCTTGGAGAAGTAGGACCTCTGCCAAGGGCTCCAGTGGGGAGAATGGCAGCAGGGTGGAGCCAGAGGGAAGGGCATGGATGTGTGTACAATAATGCTTTGCTTCCCAAGACAATATTTTTCATGTCCCGTCTGGCAGAGAGTTGATGTGGTTGTTGAATGACAAAACATGAGTCGTGTTCCATGTGGCAGCTGAGACAGAGGCTGAGTTTGTGCCCACCCTGCTCCTGCAGTGTGTCACTGGGGTTGAAGATCCCTCAGGTGGGGGAGAGGAGATGGGCAAAGTCTTGGTGGCTTTAAAAACCCCTGTTCTGGTGTCTCCCACATCCTGCAGCTCTGTGGGGTTTGGTGAGCTGCTTATCCAAGTGCAGTAGTGATCCTGCAGACACTTGATCTGTGAATCTTGAAAGGTTCCTTCATAGGTGTTAAAGATTTCCTACACCAGGTGCTCTCCTGAATGTTTGTTTGCCTTTGCCTCTTTCAGCCCTGATTTCAAGGGTGAGGTTTTTGTTCAAAGGAGGCAGAACTCTGCCATTGTGCCTGATGGAGGTGGTTGGTGATGTGCTGTGGCAGGTAATCAGCTGTGTCCTTCCCTGGGGCTGGCAGCAATGCTTAGCCAGGGTCTCTGGCATTTCCCCCCAAAATGATGGGGCTGTTTTGAGGAAATGTACTGACCCCAAAGTGGGAGTTTGGGTATTTCTGTAACTGTATTGCTACAAAAGGGTGAATGAAACTCACACTGAATAGCTTGAAAATGAATTTTCTCCAGCACTGTTGATTTTGGTTCTGGTTGAGAAATTTACACAATATATCTTGTTTTATGCTGAAGACGCTTAACTAAGAGTGGTATGAAACTCCCCAGTATACCTGGAATGTGTTTCACAAAAATGTTTATTAATCAAGTGCTACACATTGTAAGTTGAACCTAAAATTAAGTTGGCTCCTACCCGAATAGTTTACTGCATTGGATTCTTTTTGGGCTGAAGAATTTAATTTTTTTTAAATAAAACACTTCAACTTAAGTTGTCATTCTAGAAGGTCCTTTCCATTTTTGACTCTGTTGTGTCAGTGAGGAGCTGGCAGAGCCTCAGGCTGGGTGGAGTCTGTGTTCTCCGAGCAGTGCAGATGTGTTCTCCACAGGGCTGATGTTTTGGGCCTGGCTTATCTCCTAGGGCAGAGGACCCCATGCAACTGCATTCTGCCTTAGCTCTGCTCGTGCATTGATAAACTGTGTGGCTGCCAGTACCCAGTCACACACAAATCTTGATTCCAACATGTTCCCCTTTTCCCCTGGAGCGGCTGTCTCATCTTTGTGTAGCAAAAGGCCAGCTGAGACCTCTATTCGTGATTGACTGTAGTGGTGTTAGATTTGGAGAAAGGTTCTAAAAAACCACTTGGAGTGGTGGGTTTTTTGGGAGGCTGTGGGAGTTGCTGGTTTCTGCAGCAATAATAGAAGCAGAGGCAAATGTAGTGTAGGTTTTGCCCGGCAGTATCAGGAATTAGGATTGTGAACCCACCATGTTGGTTGTATTTTCAAGAAGCTGTGACTTTCCTTTCTATGGTACCACTATGAGATGGGTTCATGAAATGCTTTATGGTGTTAACACTTATTATTGTAAGGCATTTATCTTTCAGAGTGGTTAATACCTAGCTCTGTCCTTTTGTTCATCTTCTTCTTAATATTTTGGCAATCTTTTGCTGCTGGTTAGAAAAGTCATATAACTGAAACTGTGCCCTGTGGTTTGGAGCCCCGTCCCGTCCAGCGCCAGGATCGGACCTACTGTGAGTCCTAGAGAAAAAATAGTTACAAATGTCTTTAGAAGTGTCATTTCCCCTCCGAGGAAACGCATAATTGCTGTTTGTCGAGGGGAAAGAGCCCGGGTAAAGGTGTGAATGGGCACAGGCACCAGGAGGACATTCAGCCCTCTCCTGCCACCTCCCAGAGGAACACAAGGAAGGGATCCTCGCTGCTCCAGCCGCACATTTTCGGATGCTCCAGCCGCACATTTTCGGATGCTCCAGCCGCACATTTTCGGATGCTCCAGCCGTAGATTTTCGGAGCAGAGCTCGGTGCTGGAGGAGCCCTGCCCTGCCCTGCCCATCCATACTCGGACAAGTTTCCTGCTGCCCGTGCTGGCCATGGTTTGAAACAGATTTTACTGATGCCTCGGCATGAAGGAATTCGCTGAAACCCGATCCTTGCTGGAGCTCTGTCCTAAGGGGTGGCTCCTGTCCCCATTGTCTCGTGTGCCTTTGTTTTAAAATGATATTAAGCCTCAGACACCAGCTGATTTACTTTAATTCAACAGCCAACTTATGTTTGATTTCTTTTCATATTCAAGTGAGCCATCTGGCTTTAATGAACTGTAACTGGTTTTAATGCTGCCTCCAGTTGCAAACATCTGAATATTTCATGTGCTGAAAGGAGATTTGAAATGCAGAAGTGAGACTGAAGAGTCCAAAGTATTTCCAAAGCTGCTCTGTTCCAGCATCACTTGTGCTCCACTTCCCTTGAGATTTATCAAAAGATAATCTTTGGGGTGCCAGACTGTAAGCAGCAGCCATGGTGGGTGCTAATTACAAGTGCTCTCAATTTTGTGTACATAAAACACCACATCTGCTTATGAAATCCTGAATAACAACCCGACTTGACTTGGGCAGAATATCAATCAGCTTCAACAGGAGCTGCCACTGTTGGGCATCTTCTAAATCAGCAGCCTCTTTGGTGCTTGGGGTTTGGTTTTGTGGATTTGTTTTGGGTTTTTTTGGTGGGGAGGGTAGTGTCCTAAATATTCTCATGTTGCACAAAGAAAAAAAAAGTGTAGTTGCATCACATAGTTTAATTATAGAAGGTAATTGAGAACTGTATCCAATAAACTGAAAATAGCTTAATTGCAATTAATTCTGAGTATACTTTGCCAGGACTACACTATTCTAAAGCAGTGGCATATCCCCAGACTTGTGGAATATATGCTTTGCTCACAGCATTGCCTTTGTTTTGCCTTAGCACTGTGACAGCTGATAGACTTGGGCTAGGCCATTAGCAAGGCATGTTTTGATTAATGATTAAAAAGAGTTTTGTTGGGTTTTCTGTTTTCTGTTTGAGTTTTTCTCTGCGTGTTGAGCATGACATCCTCTTCCAGCACCACTTTATAAAAGATGGAATAGGTGGAAGCTCAGTGTAGGGAGAGGCTGGTCTGGGGACATGTGCTTGAGTTTCCTTACCCTCCTCTGCTTTGTCCTCTGAGCCTGGAACAACTGTGAGGAACCAGTGGAGAGTGAGAGTGGAGCCTGTGCTTAATTTCTCACAGAGGCAGAGCTGGGTTGGGATTTAATGTGTGACCTTGTAGTTACATGCTGAGCACAGACTTTCTGAGCTGGAGTGGAGCAGGTTAGAGGCATGTAGCAGAAATTGGCATCTGGGTTCCATTCCAGATACGTTCTTGTGAAGCTGTAATGAATAAAAGTTATTAGTATCTTCTACACAGTAGATTTTTGTGGCATTAAGCTGCCATTCAATAGGAGCTCTTAATGATAACTCTTGCTACTTTCAAAAAAAATCTTTTTTCCACATGTAATGAAAATTTTTGAAGTTGGCTGTAGTTTTGATTGTACTTGAACTTCCTACATGACTGAGCTCTGCTATTTTATTCTATTCAAGTTTGCTGATTTATTTGTGTGTGAAGGAAGCTACTAGTGTTGTGTATCTCTAAGGGTTATCAGGTAGTCTGCATAGACACTATATCTGTACAAAACTCAAAATCAGAGACTTTTCAAATGTGTAGGACTTCCTTTTTATAAAGCATTGTTATTCAAAATGTGTTCATTTCAGGAGCACAACCTATGTTTTTTCAGAAACTGATTTTTAGTCCTCTCTATTATTTCAGGTATCTCACTTAAAAAAGGTGCTCCACAGACATTCAACAAGAATGGAAAGGATTTTTGAAATTACCTTTTTCTTACAAGAATTTTCAAGCCAATAATCTTGGGTTTATGACCACTCAACTCTTTGATTAATATAAAGATGTCAGTCAAAGTGTGTTATTTCTAAAGAAACATGTTACCTAGAGTTTTATTTACTATACAGCTTTGCTTTTGTGGAGAATTTTGTAAAGAAACAAAACTTACAGTTCACTGCTAATGAACTGGTGGGCTTGCTTTAGTCCTGTTTTTACTTATTTTCTAGCATTCATAATGAAATAATTATTTAATTGCTAATAGGAATAGGTTTGTAAATTGGAGATTAGGAAGAAATGCCTGTGAGGGTGCTGAGGCCCTGGCACAGGGTGCCCAGAGCAGCTGTGGCTGCTCCATCCCTGGAATGCCCAAGGCCAGGTGGGATGGGACCTCAGCAGCCTGGGGCCGTGCAAGATGTCCCTGCCCATGGCAGGGGGTTGGAAGGAGATGGTCCTCGAGTCCTCTCCCAACCCAAACCATTTTAGGATTCTATCTTAAAAGCAGCTAAAAATGCCATGAAGAGTTCCTTACCAGTTGTTCCTTTCGGGTGTTTTCCAGGATCCCATCCTGAATGTCCGGGCTGCTGTGGAAGGCGGGAGGCGACTGATGACCACCAGCCAGTGACAGCCTCGTCCTGCCTTGCTCCTGCTGCTGGGACAGCCACTGGGCTTCTGTGGAGATGAATGGAGAACAGCAGTATGATGCAGGTAACAGTCCAGCCCAGCTCCCTGGCCAGCTTCTCTAAAAATATTAGCAATGTGCAAGAAAGATGAGCACAGTGAGTGTCCCACAGTGCATGTGCCTGGTGCTGTACACGGGGAGAAGCTCCAGTTTCCCAGATTCTGGGCTGTGTTCTGGCTCTGGGGCTGTCATGGCTGTGTTTGTTACTGCTCTGTATCAGAGCAGGCTGTGGCACTGGCTTAAAGAGAAACAAAATCTGGCCCACCTTGTTGGTGTCTTTTCAAGAAGCTGTGACTTTTCCTTTTGTGGTACCACTACGAGATGGGCTTATGAAAAGCTTTATGGTGTTAACACTTATTATTTTAAGGCATTAATCTTTCAGAGTGGTTAATACCTAGCTCTGTCCTTTTGTTCATCTTCTTCTTAATATTTTGTCAAGCTTTTGCTGCTGGTTGGAAAAGTCGTATAACTGAAGCTGTTTGCTGCCATTGTAGTCTGTCCTGTTTTTCTGAAGTGCCTTGGTGTGTCCTCTTTGATAGGCTTGTGATATCAATACCTAACCTCCTGCAGAGTGGTGTATTATGAACAATCAGCTCAGGTTTTGGATCATCTTGGAACACCAGGCCAACAAGAATCTTAGTCTGGGATGACTGGGAAAACTAGCATCTTTCTGAAGCAGTTCTGGAAATGTGGAAGTAGGGACCATCCATTTGTTCTGTTTTTCCTGCCATGGCTTGTTCCTTTTCTTTGAGGAGGTTCCTACCTATTACACTTTATATAAAGCAAATTTTAACTTGTAATTATCAGTGTGAACAATTGGATCAAGATTTTATCTGAGTATTACTTTCCTTTGGTACTTGTCCAACAAGCTGCTCTTCTCATAGGACAATTTACTATTGGTAATTGTTCTACCTTTACTTTACGGAAATCTAATTTTTCTAAGAGCTGCTAAAGAAATGTTTAACATAATTTTAATCTATAGTGCTTTTTAGGAGAATGCCATCTGCTTTATGGTGCTGAAATATGCTTTTTGATTATTAACTACAGCAAGTCAGTTGAGTTGTTGTCAATGTTATATCCTCAAATAGTCAAGAAAAGGCATTTTGGGTGTGGATGTAGAATTTCTCCTGGCGCATGCAAATACTTTGTCCTTGCCTAGTGGAAGCTGCAGGCTTTTGTCACAGAGTGTAAGGAAGGGAGAAGAAGAGTGAGGAGCTGTTTACATGGTCAGCAGTGGTGTGTCCATGGGCTGTGATAACACATCCCTCGATCTTAAAACCTTTATTGACATTTTTCCATCTTCCTCAAAAAATAGCAGGTCACAGAGTCCTCTCTCCCTGTGTACTTTGGAATAGCTGAGGAAAGGTTTGGTACGGGCTTGAAATTACTCAGCAGCTATTTCCCTGAAGCTCCTTTTGTGCCAGGTTTGAGTACAGGAGGCAGTGAAGAGCAAACAATAAATAATGAGAGCTTTACTTGCATTCAGAGATAGTTCCCAGCAAATGCCTGTGTAAGCATAAGCACATTGGTTTTGTTGTGTCCTCTAATATTATTTTCTGAAGCACTTTTGAGTTACACCAGTCCAAACCACTGCTGGAACATTGCCTTCATATTCTTTGACTGGTGTTGTTTTCTTCCACTTAATAATTTGCAGCAGCTTTTGCAGATTCTCCTGTTTTTCTGGTTTTACATGCAGGCTCTCTGGCTCCAAGAACCTAGACAGAGCTCAGGGTTGCTGGTTGTGATGCTCCCTTGTGCTATGAGAGGAAAAGACAACTTTTATTCTTGTCACAGTCTTTCTCAACTCCTGAAATTCCAACCTGTCTTTATTTATTCATGGCTTCACAGCTGGTGGAGATGAAAAAGATTAACTGTTATTAAAATCAGATTGAACTATATCTACATTTCAGGGTGAGAAACCTTTGGGTTAGCCTTACTGAAGTCTGCAAGACCTTCAATTGTGATGTGCTTAAATGTCCAATGTGACAGTCTTCAACTAAATCACATTAAAAATGCATGAAAATTATTTGCAGTGAGAATTTAGCTTAAATCCAAAGATGAGAACAGCCTAGTGTAGACTGTTTCCATTTCAGATATTTTTAAAGGGCTAACTTCCTTAATATTTCACTACATTCTCCAGTCCAAATGGTATAATTCCATATTCTTTCTCTACCTGTATGTATCAGAGAGCTGCAGAATATAATTTGTGATAAAATTCAAAAAGAGTGAGTGTTCCCACTAAGGCCAGTAGAAATAGGGAGAAATGGGAAGTGATGCACCTGCCTAGGAAACTGCTGATATTCATACAGAGAATTTCTCACATCCAAAGTGGATGAATATTCTCTACAGAACCTCTGTAGGACATTTCTCAGATTTTACATAAGAAAATGTTAGCTTGATTTGAAAGTTCTTCTGACTCAAACTGGTTGCATGGCAATGCCAGAGAGATGGGAATTGTGTCAGGTTCCTTCCCCTGTCTTTGCCAAAGTTGTGCTTTGCCTCTGGGCTGATGTGCTGCTCAGTCATCCTGTCTAATACAAAGAAATAGGTCTCCACATAGAATAAAGCTGAATTTATTTAGGACTTGTAGCAATTAAGGATATGGGGAGAAAGAAAGAGCATAAATGTGTACATCCATGCAGAATAAGAGGAATAAATTGTGCTTTGGAATCAAATGCATTATATATGGTTGTGCTTGTTGTCATCTGTCACACTGATTTGCGAGTTTTCTCACAGTAGCAAGAACCTCTGCTGTAAATGTGTGAGGTTTTATTGAACGTTCTGAACTCAGACTGATCGGGGTGTTTAAGGCAGAGTTGTGGCCCCTCAGGAATGTGGCTTCATCAAACTGGTCCTGGGTCTCCAGGGATCTGCTAACCTGTGAGGATGAAGCTGTGCAATGGGGTCTTCAAAAAACACCAGCAGAACAGTTCAAAGGCTTGATTTAAGCAGGGCCTGCTCTGCTGCCACTGTCCTGCCAATAAAACCAGAAAAGTGATTGGATTCTGACTCTGAAAGCCTCGCCGGAGAGATGGTCCTTTGCTGCACCTTTGGAGTGCTTCTGCATTCAGATGTTGGAAAAGAGAGCCTTAATTCAGGGGTTTTTCTTTGTTTATGTAGTCCTACCACATGCCACAATTAAAAAAGATAATTTACTGCTGCCACTGTGCATCCTCGTACAGCATTTTTGCTTGGAGCTTTATTCTGTGAGATTCTCCTGTTCCACATTGCTCCAGAAGGAGCTGTGCTAAATAACCTGGGGTGCTGTGGCAGGTTTGTGAGAAGCAGCAAACAGGATGGTTCAAACCATGGCTGAGCACAAACCTCAGCTGGGTCAGCCTCCAGAAGGGAGGAAAATTCCCCAGCTCTGCTCAGTGCTGGAGTGAGAGGCTGATCACCTCAGCAGTAAAAGCTTTGTGAAATTGAACACAAGCCGAGTTCAGCTTTTGTGAACGAATGAACAGAAAAAGTTCTGCGTGCTTTTTGCAGAAGTTTTAAAAAATCCCTCTGACTGAAGGAAACTCCCCAAAAGAAAATAGTCAGAGTATTAAATTTGCCATGAGTGTTGGATAGGGATTTGTGTTTTGGTTGTTATTTTTGTTGGGATTTTTTTTTGGCGGAGGGGGTGGGTGGCGAGGGTGGTTTTGGTTTTTGAGTTGGTTTGGTTTGGTTTGTCTCATTAGGGGGTTTTATTTGTTTTTCCTGTGAAGAGCGGGTTTGTGAGGGAACCTTTGGCTGTGGGCGCTGTGCAGCGCGGAGCAGGCCGAGCCCAGCCCGGGCGGAGCTCCGCGGGGGCGGGACGGGCGCAGGGCCGCGGCGGGTTGGCTTTACCGCGGCTGCCGGCCAGGGAAGCGGCTTTCCTGGGAGCTCCTTGTAGCAATTAAGTGGCAACAGAAGTTACTAATTGACCCTTTCAGTGTGTGAAGTGACCTGTGCCTCATTTAAGGAGCTTAAGTGCCCCTGCGGCAGTTATCTGATGATAACGGGGCTGAGGGCTCGCAGCGCGGGCCGGGGCGCTCCCGGCTCCCTGCGGCATTCCCGGGGAGCCGCTGCCGCCGGAGCCTCAGCCCGCCCTGCTCCGCTCCCTCCGACAGGACCGTGTCCCTCACCCCATGCAGAACAAAACAGCTTTTTGGGGTTCTTGCTGCAGCGTGCTTTTTGTTTGGAAGGGTGAGATGGTTTTCTTTGGGTGGGAGGAGAATTAGAGTTCACTCCTAGGTCTGACTGACCAGAGCTGGTGTTTGTTCCCTTTTGATTCTGGAGCTCTGAACTTCAGCGTTTTTATGGTCATATAAAACTAAAATGCTATTTAAATTAGTTGAGAAATCTTAACCTATTTTAACAACATTTTGCAATGAAATTGTTTTTCTTAAAATGGTTTGCTTCCAAAGCTTTGATCGGCTCCACCCTAATTTGCAAACAACTGTGGTCTGTGTCTTAACCTTTTATTCCCTCAAAAAATTTCTAAATAAAACTCCTTATTTATTTCTCCAGATAATTTCGTCAGTAAATTAAAAATTATCCCTAAAAAGTGATGGTGATATTCAAGCTCTGAATCTTTTGAGCTCTGGGGCTTATGAAAGGCCAAAATAACCAGCTGCTGTTGGTTGAAAACAGACAAAGTTGGGTTCTGGAGAGATAAGAGTATTTTTGAAAATAGATAATGTCATCAGCAAACAACAGCTAACTGAATATACATTTTTAAGTTTTGGGAACTGATAACTCCTAGAGTCACAACGAAAAGTCAAAGATGAGCTTAACCATCAGTCTGAAGGTAAAAAGAACCTATTAAACTCAAGACTTACAGGTTTTTAGTCTATTTAACGTATCTCAGACTTTTAGACAAATATTTGCTCCTTTCTGTTGAAGGACTGGGAATTGTCCCAGAGCTTTCTTAGCTTGTTAGCCTGTCCAGGGGTCTGATAAGGACACGTAGTGGTAATTAATTCAATTTTTTTATGTGTAATGTTTCCTACTGGAACGACTGCTGCTGGAAAGATCAGTGGGAAATGCACAGGGTGTAGGAAATGCCCGTGTCCTGTAACCTTTGCTGAGCTCTCCTTGGGCTTGTGATACACAGAGATTTCTCTGTTTTCAAATATAAACAAGGTATCAGGTTTCCTGGTCCTGAGAGAGGGAAAGCTCTGTTGTTCATTCACAGAGAGCTATGGGGCAGATGGTGGAATCAAGCCTGAAAATGAAAGCTTTGCTCTTGTGTGCTGTCACTGCCTCCCCATTTTGCTGCTGAGCCTGAACCTTGTGTGTTGAGGGTAAAAACGCTGCTAACGTGGGCTGTGACCCTCACTGGCCATCCCACTGTGTTCCTGCAGGAAAAGTGTCATGTGGCTTGCTCAGCTAAATAAGGGACCTGAAATCCACCCTCTGCTGGCTTGGTGTCTTTTTAGCAAAGTGGGTACATGTTGGAGAAAATAGGAATAGGAGAGCAGCAGGGAGGGGCCAAGCCAGAACTGAAAGGGAGACCAGGGCTGGGGTACAGGTTTGACAATAATAATAGAAAATTTGACTAATCTCTAGTGTGGCTTGTTACAGGTGCTTGCTTCCCTAACAGCCTGAGTGGGCTTTGAACTGTGGTTTGAGTGGTTTTAGCACATTTATGCTTTAAATGAATCCCATAATGAGGTTTTCTTGGTCTAAAGAAGCTGTGACACATTATGCACTGGGCTTTTAAAGTGACCAAGTTGAGCTGACTTTATTTCAGTTAGGTCTCAAGTTGTTTTCTTTAGAACTACTCTGAATCCCTCTCTTTGCTTTTGGTGTTTTGGAACAGCTAAATGCCTAATATCTAATTTTCAAAAGAGCAGAGTTATATTTCAAAGGATTTTTTAGACTTTCTTTTCAAATCTCTTAGTGGTACAGCTCTTCCCTGGGTGGTTTTTAATTTAAAACACCAACAGTCCAGTTTGCCTGGAGTTCTGAGTCTCTCATATTTGTTAATACAAACACAGAGTCTTCTCCCTACATTTCCCTCTCACAAATTGTAAGCAAATTTGTGCTGAACCAAAATCCTCAGGATTTCACTGTTTTCCTGACCAAGTCCAGCTAATTAAGTGCTGTTCACAAGTAAGGAAAGGCCAAGTAGTGTTGTCCATTTCTTGAAATGTGTTCACTGCATGCTTGTGTACTTGGTCTTTTGGAATCAAAGTGGGTTTTACTGTGGTTTGTAGTAGCCTAAAGCTACTGAATTAGAAGTGTTTGGCTTCTCTTCCAGATGCAGGTTCCAGTGTGGAAGAAATGGAATTCAACTGGGATGAATATCTAGAAGACACAGGAGCAACTGCAGCCCCCCATGGATCTTTTAAACATGTGAGTAAGGGAGCGTGTGTGTGCTTAGCATCTCCTGCATTGTTTCTTTGATATACTAAGTGTTTAGGGTTTCTTTGAATGAATTACTGCTCTCAAATTTGGAAGACTAACTAGACTCATGTTTTTTTAATAGAGAAATGCAGAATTTAACCTTTTTATTACTGTTTCTTGTCTTTGTTCCTGTATGTAACACAGGGTAACCCCCATCCACAAGCGCTGAAATCTAAAGAGTTAAGGTCTTTTCTGCACCAGAAGATAAGCTTGATTTTTTTTAAGAAGCTCAAAATATCCAGTCTCTTTCTTCTTTTGGTGATTGCTCCTGATAACTGTTATGGAGGAGTAGCTTTAGAAAGCTGGTGGCAGAATAGTTCTTGAACAGCAGAATTCAAATGTGCTATTAGAGAAGGCTTTAATGGCAGATCTCAAGGAGGCAAGGAGAAAATAACAGCTCTGCCAAACACCTGACTGTAGTAGTTAGAAAACTGATTAGGATAATTGTTGATCACAGGCTTAATTAATAGGATGAAGTCTTGATAAGCCCTTGTCTTTGCCCTTGGACATTTTAAATGTTTGTTGGTAAAGGCCTGGAGAGCACTGTCCCATTGGGGGAGATCTGAATGTGAAATCTGCCTTCTTGTTCTCAGTGAAGGTGAGCTGTACAGAGCTGGTGTCCAAACCTGTTGGTTCTCTTCCAACAATTAAAGCACCTTGCAGACTGGTGACTGTGTGTGACATATTGCTGGGAAGACACCCTGTGGTGCTCAGGCTTTTGGGTCCAACACCGTGACTTTCAGTATAAGGAAACTTAAATCAGCAGGAATACAGCTTGAAGTCTGTTTGTGACTGATCATGAAGCATTTTGAGTCCAAGGGTAGCCTGGAGAAATGAAGACTATTAAATAATCTGTTAAAATATGTAATTTGTCTTAGTAGTAAAGATGCACAGAAAATACAGCCTTCACAGAGATGAAGGCTGGGATGTAGAACACTGGGATGTAATTGTAAGTTTTTTGTTCAAAGTGAAAATTCAGGTATCTAATTTCTGAAGGGAAGGGGACTGTGCTTGCTTTATTTTTCCTGGGTGTACTGAGGCTGCAGCTAAAGCCAGCTTAGAGTGGTGGTGTCCATGCAGCTCACATAGAACCAGAGCAATGGCATTTTGCAGTAATACTGGGAATGGTCTGTCTCTTCTGGTGTGGTTTAACTCACTGGATCTGTTAAAGAGGCCTGCTATCATAGCTTGGACACTGTATAATTAATTGTAATGCCATCTCTACAGCAGTGGCCAACTGAATTAATGTTGTAGCTGGATTTTGTTAATTAGCAGAAGACACACTTTGAAAGACTCACTGCACCTGCACCAGCTCAGCTGTGTCAAGTCTGAGGTCTGGCTGTGGCCATGGTTGATAAAAATAAAATTAGGTTTTAAAAAAACCTCCATATTTTGTATTGTTATTAATCCCTGCCTGTGAGGAGCACAGTGCAGTGTTGCTGGTGAGGTGACATTGTGATGGAGAGTGGTTTGGTGAGGAGGTGTGGGCAAAGCCCAGCTCCTTTGTCCCACTGCCCTGGGGACTTGGGGGGCCTGGACCTCTGTAAGGAGGTCATCAGTGAGTGTGGAAATAGACACCTGCACCTTCAGAATGGAACAATTGGGTATTTTCTACCAGAGCTCCTTAGAATTTGTGAGTGTTGATGTTCTCTGTAATAAGCTTGGCATAAAATTCTTTATTGCTGACACTGAATTGACAGGCAGAGGGAGGAGCATATTTATGTCATAGTCTTGCTGTTAATAGAAGTGCAGGAGTGCAAGTCACATGCTGGGGGTTTCTGTGGTCCATTGGAAGGTAATGTGTTGGAAAAGATGGAGTAGAGAGCCTCACTGCCTCCCAGTGGAGAGTGACAGCCTGTCTTTGTGCCAGCACTGAGACAAGCTTAGTGTGATTCCAGGGTACATCAGGTGAGTGCTTGTCAGTGGAGAATAGGCAGGCACTGGTGTGGCTGTGCTGCTGATTGTATTCCCTCCAGCTTTAATTCATGGTCCCGGTTTCTTGACTTTAGGAATGACATATTTTTATAATCCACCATCAGGAAAGCTAGCATGCTTTACTCTCGAAAAAGAGTGGAAAATTCTGAGCTGAAGGATAGTATTAACACAAGAGCAAATGAACACATATGATAAAATCATTAATATAAATGTATTTTTAAATGGAGCTGTATGGTTTTAGTTTGGTTCTTTTTAAATACTGGGGTAGTGAGCTCCCTCCCATTGTGAGTTGTGGGTGAGAAATACCTAACTCATGTTGTAGGAGAATACATGGTCAGGTTAAAGAAATGTAATCCATGATTACACAGCCTGTGTTAGCAAAGCACTGGATTTGCTTATAGGAGAGGTGACTTTCTATATTTGTATGCTTATATTAATTCTGAACGTTTTGCCTTGCTATGAGTAAGACGCATTGGAGAATTTAAGTTACTTCTCAAATTAAGTGTGTTCTAATGTTTAATTTCTTAGCATTTTAAAAATTAAACAATATCAAGATCAAAGTGACTGGCATAAAACATAGCAGGAAAAAGAACTTACCAAAAACCTGGAGCTGTGATGAATGCCAATGTTGTTGTCCCCTCCAAGTCTAAATACACTTCCTCTAGAACCAAATGCTCTTTTTCAATTCCCTTTTACCCTTTACAACAGGTGTGTGACCATGAAAAACAGGTTGGTGTTCAGCATCATCTGAATACATTTATTTGCTGTGTGTTCTTGCCTGCTCTTAATAATTTTTGTCTATTCCTTATCATTATCTCCCCCTGAACTGAGCTGCATCCCTGGTTCTGGCTTGTGCCGCGGGGCAACCTGGGGACAGCTCCTGCTGGGATGGGGACACGGGGGCTGGAGTCACAGCTCCTGGCCAGCTCAGCTGCACTCTTGGGCCCGCTGCTCCAATGGAGATGCTCTGGAGGATGCCCATCCTGGCCAGGCTGACCCGGGAGGCTCCTGGAGGAGTTTGCTGGGATTGCCCAGCCCGGCCCGGCGGCGCTGCCGGGAGAGGGCGCGGGCAGCTCCCGGGAAAGGCACCGGCTGCAGGGAGCGCTCCTCCTGCTGCTCTTGCTTTTGCTGACACCTGCTCTCCCTGCCTGAGCCTCTGTTGAAAGATCAGCTATAGGAAGCAGCACAGATTCCCCAGTTCTTTAAATGTTCCATTGAGCTTGAGGCTTTTCTCTCAGGAGTCAGAACATTACATTTTTGGGAATATCTCTTCAGCAAGACAACTGTCTTTTTTAAGAGACACCCTCTGTAATACCACTTCAAAGTGCCTGCAGGTATTGGGTCCTGCTGATTAGGTTTTTAAGAGGAGATGTCTCTAAGTGAAGTGTATTAACCCAAAGGATATGAACAGTTAACACACGCATATGCTCTTCTTTCTGGTGTAGTTCTCTTAGTTTTATTTTTAGCAAACCAGTATGTGCTGGCTGATGAGACTATAACAGCCATGGCAGTTACTGAACTGTCAGCACAGAACTGGGAATGAATACCCCAGAAAATATCTGCTCCATCTGCATCATACTGAAGGCCTTTCTTGTAGTAGGTTCAAAGAGGAAATAGAGCTTGGGACGTCTTAAAAAAGAAAGAAAACATGAGTTACAGTCAACTGAGAATGGGGAATTGACATGTCAGAGTTTTAATTAGGACTGAGGTCTTAGAATTAAGCATAGATCAGAATATTCTATAGAGAGAGCAGAACAGGGTCCATCTGCTCTTTTGGGATTGTTTGAGTTAGGAGACGTTAGGAATATGAGAAACTTGAGGTGTTGCCTTCTCTTTTAAGTCTCCCTTTTCAGTGTCTCAGTCCTGTGCAGATTGTCACCTGCACACAGCACACCAACATAAAAACAGAGCACTCCCAATGTCCGGTGCTTTATTGTTGTCAAAACATGAAGAATACAGACTGATTATGTCCCGTGCAATTTATGTAACAGTGCTGCATACAGAATTATTGAGGTTCTTGCATAGAGAGGTTAAAAATCCTTATTCTGCACTTTGTGCAGGTTTGTGACTTCTTAGATGAGCATGGTGGAAGAGACAGATACCTAAGGCAACCATATGAACTTTCAATGGGCTTTTTGTCCAAAGACCTTGAATGACACAATTTAACACAGCAAATCAAAGTTGTGGTGTTGAGTTTGACCTTTAGTTTTGCTCAGGTTGCCAACCCAGCTGAATGGGAAAGCCTTTCAGTGATGGGGGAAGGTATTGTCCAGGGCAGAAAATCAATGGTACAGTCTTACTTTAGCTTGAGAAGCTACTCTTAAATGCAAAGAAGATTTCATGAATGATGATTCTATGTGCATTCCAGTTTGGGTCCCATAATGTGATAAAACTGTTTCTCTGAAGAGGCTGGGGTGGCATTTGACTTGAGTTTTTTTTTGCTAATGAACTTGTCTAAATTGTTCCCTCTGTTATTCAGCAACCTTTCTGAGAGGTGCTCGGATGTGATGATCTTCTTCCTCTTCAGGTGGATACAAGTTTGCAGAACGGTTTTGCCCCTGGCATGAAGCTGGAAGTGGCTGTCAAGTCTGACCAGAACACCTACTGGGTTGCCACCATCATCACCACGTGCGGGCAGCTGCTGCTGCTGCGCTACGACGGCTACGGCGAGGACCGCAAGGCCGACTTCTGGTGTGACATCCTGACTGCTGACCTGCACCCCATCGGCTGGTGCCAGCAGAACAAGAAGATTCTCAAAGTGCCTGAAGGTACCAGCTCTGTGACACACAGGGGACACACCAAGAGGTGTTCTTGTCCTGTGTCAGCTGGGCAGGCAGCCTGTGTAGCTGCTGTGGTATGCAGGTGCTGTTGCTGAGGGGACAAGTTGAGGTTATCTGCTGTGCTTTCCTGAAATCCCATGACAGAGGCTTGTGATTATCTTAATCATCACCACAAAATCCACTGCTTTGACATTTTCTTGAAGTTTGGGGGTTTTTTTGGTTTTTTTTTTTTTTTTTTTTTTGTTGTTTCTTTGTTTTAAGTTGTTACCAGTGTGTGGTAGATGCTCTTGAATTAGGCAACACAAGACTGTGGTAACATCTTGTGTCTGAATAATCTGACAGGAAAATTCATAGTCTTTCTCTTTCACTGTTTGCTTAGGTATCAAGGACAAGATACCTGACCAGGAAGAGTTCCTTCAGAGGGTGCTCAAGGGGGCCTGCAGTGCCCCTGCTAACCTGCTGGAAGGGGTAAGTGCTGCAAGGGGCTGCATACTGGGGTTTGGCTTTGCCCTTCATCATTAAAGGGACCTTATTTGAATTGTCAATTCAATTCCCTTTTTAAGTTCAGGGGGCATTGTAATATGCTGTTGACCCTAGAGTTCCACTCTCTAGTGTTTTCTATTTACAGTATTTAATTTTTATAGTGTTGTCCTGAAACATATCTGTTGCTGCAGGCTTGGGTTGTTCATTAATCCTGGCAAAAGAAAGACCTTTTTCAACTCCCTAAGGTTTCAGTCTTCTTCCTATTCTCTCCCTCCTGCATACAGCTCTAACAAAATAATGCTTTATTTATCTGGCTTTCATGTTGTCTCCTTTCTCAATTGACTCCTTTCACTTTGAATTGTTTTGGTTTGGAATTTTTTTACTAATGGTCACATTATTGTTTCACTTAATTACATCTTTTGCTAGTGAAGAACCAAATTTTTTATCCCCTGCTCTGCACTTAAAACAATATCTGCACCTTATATCAGTGTCTGGCTGCAAAGTACAGAACATAATGGTTTTTGGAAAATGCCTGTGACACCTTCATTACAGCTTACAGTTCTGTCTGTATGTTTCTGTCTAGTCATCTTTGTATGCTGGATGACTCAGTTTTAGAAAGAGGTTATTCATGTTTCCTTCAAACCTGGAATATATAAATGATGATGTCTCTGAAAATGATAATGAGGACTTCAGTGAAATGTGTGACTGTATCTACAGGCAGTGCAGAAGCTCTGACACCAGCACCAGCAATTCTGAACATTGTCATTTCTGACTTGTGTTAGGAAGGGACATGGATTTCTGTGCTCCTGTGTTCATACTTTGTTTATGCAGACAGAATGTGTGAAAGGAGGTGGAAGTATGACATTTGTTTTGTTCTGTTGTACAGAATAATTTGTATTCTTTTTGTAGCTTCACAGAGGGAAAAATCCATTGGATCTCATCGCACCCGGCTCCCGACTGGAACTGCAAAACATCCGGGATTCCCTGGAAGCCTGGATCGTCAACGTGGTGGAAAATGTTGGTGGGAGGCTCAAGTTGCGATATGAGGGCCTGGAGGATTTGGACAAATTTGACCAGTGGCTCTTCTATTTGGACCCTTTCCTTCACCAAGTGGGTTGGGCAGCTCAGCATGGATACAGCCTGCAACCACCTTTAGGTACTTGGAAACACAGCTCTTGTACGTGGTGATCAGAGGGTAGAGGCTGCTGCTTTAGTGCCCTGAATTGTCCTTCTGGGTGCATGTGGTGGTCACATAATCCATGTGATCTGACAAGTCCTGTACCTAATAGAGTACAGGTGAAGGCACAAATAGTCCTACAAGACTTTTTACCCACTTGTTCTAAATGCTTTTGCCTGTCAAAACTTTCCTCCTGTGTGGGAAAGAAAAGAAGTGAGGAAGGGATGGCTTGTGAGCTTGAGAGTGATGTAGTATGTTTCCTGATGAAGGGAAACCTTGGGATAAAGAATTTGGCAGTTTGGAGTGGCACAAATCAAACTTTATGATTTCATGATTTGGTTATTTTTGGTATGTTTGTTTTCCTGGGGTGGAAAAGGTCTTATGGTTTTGGAGTACTGCTAAGCAGGAGCTTTTGCAGTTGAGACCCTCAAGCCTACTGGACTGATTTAGATACCATTTATAAATATGAAAATCTTCCTTAAAAGAAAGAACAAGTGAGTGGAAGCACAGGCAGAGGTTTGGACAGGTGGACACATCTTTCAGACGTGTCCATGTTAGGGTAGGTAATCAGAGGAGGGGGACAAAAAGTGGCAGAAACACAAAAGGATGGCTTGTGAGCTTGCTAGTGATGTAACATGTTTCCTGATGAGGGGAAACCTTGGGATAAAGAATTTGGCAGTTTGGAGGGGCACAAATCAAACTTCATTGCTATGTGTTCTGAGAGAAAAGAAGAAAAAAATGACTACTCTCTCTTTCCCTCTCTTTTTCCTCAAGCCATTAGGTCCTTGAGGAGTGAAGCAGATTGGCAAGAGATCCTGAAGAAGGTTAAAGAGGAGGAGGAGGAATCCTCTGTTCCTACAGATCTTTTTAAGGTAGTTTAATGCTGTGGGTGATACCACAGAAATGCTATATTCCTGAGCAATGATTCAGGGAAGTCAGTCACTCAAAATTCTTTCCTTGTTTTGTTTTGTTGGTTTTTAAAATGTATTCCCTTTCTCTCCCTGGTTTAGAAATGTAATTATAAGGAAAAATAATCATACTGGTATCAATTCTTGGTAAGTTAGACAATGCACCTATCACAGTTATGTGAGTCATTAGTTGTCATGGTTCACATGTTTTAGTCCTTCAGGTTCTTAGTCCATTTATCTCAGCTTTGTTTGGACCCATAAGTAGAAGTAGAGGTGCTGTTGCCCTTGGATTTGTTGGGTCATGTACAGAGATATGGATAATTCTGTTCTGCAGGTTTCTGTTAGACTGCAAATGAAGGCATGTTCTCATTTAGTGTAATTAATGAGGAGTGCTAAAGGTTACAGGGAAAAACCTCAAACATTTCTATTGACTTACGAGACCACTCAGTATTACCAAATCTTGCTACTGTGTAGAGAATGGCAGAGGAGGAAGGCACAGGGACTCAATTTCCTACATCTCATCAAAAACTGTCAGTCTCAGGGGGCATTGTTGGCCTTTTCATTTAGAGAAGTTACTGGTGCTGGGACATGTTGATTTCTTGGGATGAACTGATAAAAACTCCATAAAAACTCATCCTCTTCAGTTGATTTATATGAGGTACATCTCTTTTTTGATGGAGGAGGGCAGGTAATTAGAGCAACACATCATTTTCCAGGATAAACCCGTGATTGGAGTGCACTCGTTCTCTGAAGGCATGAAGCTGGAAGCTGTGGACCCAATGGCTCCCTTTCTTATCTCTCCTGCTACAGTTCTCAAGGTACCAGAGTTCTTAAACCAGTCCTGCTGAGATTCAGTTCTACTGCTACTTCTGTTCTTAAGTGCTCAGGGAATTCTCATTAACTGGTTATCTTAAAATCTTGTGTTAGTTTCCAAGTGAAGTGTTTTGTCTCCCTCAGGAGACAGGCTGCCTGATCAAACAGCTGCTGGTGGTGAAGCCATTGGATTTCAATGGAGGGGAAACATTCCATAAAGATACAAGCTCAAAAGACCAAATAATGACAATTGTTAAAGCCAGATTTTAAAAACTGGGTATATACCCTCACAATCTGAATATCCACCTGGAGATAGTTTTTTGTGGTTTTGATTTTGTTAAGGTTATGTCATTACTGTGTACACATGACATTTAGATGGCCTGATTTCCAAATGAGGGGTTTGAAAGTTGAAATGAAAACTCTCCAACATGATCAGGGGTTACTTTTTTTGGTATTTGCTTGTCCTGCTTCTGTTTTCTTCAGGGGAGTAGTGGTATTATTTGTGACAGTCCATCCTGGTACGCAGTTCAGCCTTGTTGATATAAGCAGTTTGTTATAGAATGACCATAGATGGTAATTTCTGTGCATTTTTCATGAGAAAATTCCCTAAAGCACTAGGTCACCTTACCTTTTAAGTGCTCAGACATTAAGTTTTATTATTTATATTTGCTAAGTTTCTGGATAATGCAGATAAGTCCGCTGGTTTATGAATCCCAAAGATTCTTTTAATTTTATTTTTTCGTAACCCTTCCAGTATATCAAGGTAAAGAGTTTCCACCAGTCAATGCTACTGTTTAATAAAGTTACTAGAACATGCATCTTACAAGAGCTCGTGGTTCTCTTTTGGCTGACTGCAGGTGTACAATGACAAATATTTCCTGATAGAAATGGATGACTTGAGAGCGGAGCGCGCGAGCAGCCAGCGCTACGTTTGTCACCTCAACAGCGCCGGCATCTTCCCGGTGCAGTGGAGCCTGAAGAACGGGCTGCACCTCAGCCCACCCCCAGGTATGGCTGTGCAGCTCCTCCTGCTCTCCCCTGCTCAGCACTGCATCTGGCCAAAGCAATGGCACAAAGCAGCGTGGGAAAGATCCAGCCCTACAAATCAGGAGGTTTGAGTTAGGGGAGCTGAGGTTTCCCAGGCACGAGCGTGGGTTTGGGAGGATGAGGGAGGCTCAGGTTGTCATGCTTAACAACCTGAACGCTGGAATGGATGGAGTGAGTGTTCCAGGCCTGAAAGAAATGTTGATTTCAGACTAATTAACATGATATGAGAAGCCTGCAGTCTTTGCATTGGATTTTTGCTTCTGGTCAGAATGGAACATTGTTATCCAATATTTTATAATATTTTTAGGCTATCTTATCACTAAGAAGTTAATTAACTATTTTTTTTACCAATAGCCTATCAGGCACTGTTGGAGATTGTTGAAACATTGCTTCAGGACATAAGGGAATAGGGTAGTGTTCCTGCATTGCTGAAATATTTATTCATTTTCTCAAACTAGAAATGTTCATGGTACTGTAAAACCTCGTCCTCTGCTCTCTTACTTGCCACCTCACAATTCAGAATGTTTTATTGTAGCTACTCTTTACATCAGAGGAGCAGAGACTGTAAGATGTTTGTCTCCTGGCTTTCCGTGGATAAGGTGTGAAAAGTGGCTCTGCCTGACCAGCATTTCCTGGAATTTTGCATGTGAAAAGTGAAATCTCACTCTATAGGCATGTAACTGAAGCTGACAAAGATTTTAAGTTTCTATTCTCGTTCCCCTGGACATGGTGAACATTCTGAACTGTGTGAGGTCTCGAGAGCCCTACTGGCACTGGTAAAACTGAGAAAATTAATAATTAAATCTTTCTGTGGTTCAGCCCTTTCTGAGGAAAAGAGTCACAGAATAAGTTAGATTGGACTGGTGAGGTCACTCCTCAAACCCTGGCTTCAGTTTTGGGCCTCTCACAACAAGACAGACATTGAGGAACTGGAGCATGTCCAGGGAAGGGAATAGAGCTGGGAAAGGTCTGGAGCCCAAGTCCTGTGAGGAGCAGAGGGTGCCTGGAGAAAAGGAGGCTCGGGGGAAACTTTGGCTCTCTACAATTTTAGATTGTCATGTTAATAGTATATTCTTACACTGGATTTAAAATTTGATGTCTTAAACTGTTGTCACAGGTGTCCCTTTAAGGGGAGTGGAATAACTGCAGCACTTGTGTCCTTGCTAATTTACTGCCAGCCTCAAACTGACATGGCAGCACACTTTTGGGCCCCATTCTGTTCAGTTATTTGCCTTTTTTAGATCACAGGGAAGCCAAGTATTTCCCCCAAGAAGAATATAATTTTTCTTGGAAGGATTCTCTGTCTCCTGATGGAGTCCTTGTTAAGACACTTCCCTTCAGACATGTACAGATCTACAGCTGTTATCAGACTTGATGAGGCTCTTGGCACATCTTACTGCTCCCTTTAATGACTTAGTATTTAACATGTCTTTGAGAGAACAGTGTGTTGATATTGTGCACGTTTTGAGTGCTCTGTTTTAAAAAAATAGTTTCAGAGCTGACACAACAGCAGTTGCAGAAATTTTTCCTGAATTTCATCTGTACTCTGAAACTGTTTAAGATGGGTGAAACTGCTTTCCCAAGTTTCAGTTGCTGCCCTTGTCTGCTTGGCAGATTGATGATTGAGGTTGGAGTGGTCTGACCTCACATGGCTCCCTGAAGCCCTAAGTCAGCTCACAAACCTGAGTGACCCAAGCAGATCTCAGTCTCTGTGTGTCAGGTGGGTTTGAAATGAGTCTCAGCTGTTAAGCTCTAACCCTTGGCTCTTTGCTGTCCTAGGTTACCCTGGGCAGGACTTTGACTGGGCTGACTACCTCAAACAGTGTGGTGCCGAGGCAGCTCCCCAGAGCTGCTTCCCTTTGGTAAGGCTCTCCTGCAGGAAAATCTCTGCTGCCTCAGTGACACCCCTGATTCCTGGGAGAAAACCCTTTTTTGTTTCTTACTTTAATTGCCTTTCCAAGTAGAATAGAATACTTGAGCTGGAAAGGACCTGCAATGACCAATTATCCCATCCAATGCCTGACCCTCTTCCGGGCTAAGCAAAAATTCAAACATTGTTCAGGGTGTTGTCCAAACACTGGCAGGGGTGGAGCTTTGAGCCCCTCTCTGGGAAAGAGGTGCTGCCTGGTGTCCAGTCTGAACCTGCCCTGACACGGCTCAGAACCATTCCCACACATCCTGTCCCTGGAGATCAGCACTCCCCTCTCCACGTCCCCTCCTCGGGGAGCTGCAGGGTGCAGTGAGGTCACTCCTCATCCTCCTTTTCTCCAAACTGGACAAACCCAGAGTCCTGAGCTGTTCTCACAGGGCATTCCTTCCAGCCCTTTCACCAGCTTTGTTGCCCTCCTCTGGACACATTTGAGCACCTTAACACCTTACCTGTGATAATTCAGGAAGCAGAAGAGATAAGAGAGTATAAATGAGAGTGCACTGAAGTAGCTGCACGCCAGCTTCCTAGATAGGGAAGCAGTGGACCAAATGTTTCAGTTGTGATAAAGCAGACTGAAAATAAATGTTTGTGTTGTGAAATTGAGATGTGTAAGAGTCCGTGGAAGAGACATAGAACAGCATCAATCATTGGCACTCCTGTAACTGTGGAAACAGGGCCTTTTAATAGACCTTATTTTCATTTACTAAGGGTACTCTTTCAACCTTCCATCCTTTCAGATTGAAAAATTATTTCAATTGTATTAATCAATACAAAGTCATCTTAGATTATTACCAAATAATCATTTTACATTAACCAGTGCCTGAAGGACGTGCAAGATTTTGGGCTTTTGTTGATTCAGTGACAGTATTGCTGTCCCCCAAAGCACAATACCTTGTCAAAGCAGGAAAGAATATTATTAACACCTGCCTTCCAGTTCCATTTACCATACTTGGGCTATTGCTGTGCTTAGGGGGAGAAATTAGAATGAATAATTACCAGCTTTTGAAGAGAGTGTTGCTGGCTATGAATTCTTGTTGCCCTTGTTCTCTCTTGTAAACAGTGGCATCTTAAAACAGGTCACTGAATTTATTATCCCTTTTCTGAGAAGAGTTGATCACTGTAGGCTAGTTCCAGAATTCATAATGTATTGATCCTGTAATTACATTGCAGAGTGGCTCTGGGAAGAAGAGTCCTCTGGCTGGCTGGTACTTCTTATCTTTAATTCAAGAGCTCCAGAGACAGATAAATACCTATTCTTATGTTTTAGGGATTTTTTTATATATAAATGCAAACCATACTGGTGAATCAAGTACGACCCTACTTATCCAAAAAATGTAAAATGAAAAGAAAGCTTCCTATTCTGCCTGCCAGAACTCAGATGAGGCAGGAATGTTATTTGCATACGTAAAGTGGATTTTCAAGTTAACATGATAGAACAGAGAACCTGGTCAGACTATTTGTCAGACTTATCACTCAGGTGGCAAGCAGCAGAGAATTTCTGATTGCTGAGAATACACTCAATCCTTTCAGTGAGCCTGAGCATCCTTATTTTTTGAGGACAAATACATTCTTTGCTAGGTCTGTCTGTAGAGCCTTCTTTAACTTAAATTCATTGTAGTTCCTGATATATCTTACTTGTTTACAGTGTGCTAATTATCTGAAATCTCCTCTGCCAGTGTTGAGTATCTTTCTGTGTTATGCTGGCACTGAGGGTTTTGTGTTGCTCCTGTTCATGGATATTCATATCCTATTCTGGATACACAGCTGGTGTCTTACTGAAGTGTTCTGGCTTTTTCCTAGTTAACTTCTGACCACGGATTCAAAGAGAACATGAAACTGGAGGCTGTGAACCCAGTTGATCCTGAAGAAGTTTGCATTGCTACGGTCACCAAGTTAAGAGATTCATACCTCTGGCTTCAGCTGGAGGGTAAGTTGATTTGGGGGGAGAGAGCAGTGCTTGCCCATCACTACACTTGCTTGTAGAGCCATCCCCCAGACCTGAGAAGCAAACTCACTGTGTGCAGAACATGGCAGCTGGCACTGTTTCCTCAATGAAATCATAGTCAAAACCCACTTGCATTGTCTGTTTCCAGTTTGCCTTGGCTGGAACTGCTTATTTAAGCCAAAGATGGCATTTGTGCATTGCAGTGTCAGTGCTGGGCTCATGCACCGTGCAAAGTGCTGAGCGGGGCCTTGTGGAAAGCAGGGGCCTTGTGACAGTTTCACAGATGAGTGACTTGCATTCTGAACAAGCCTTGGCCAGACCTGGGAAGGAAAGTTTCTTCATTAAGATAGAGTAAGCCTGTGTCAGCTGTTCTCCATTATAATCCCATTTCTTGATTGGAAGTACATCAGCATGCACTTACTATGCACTGTGCATCTCTGCTAAACTGCGGAAGGAAAATTCCCATCTCCAGCCTTTAGGAGGAAGTAAATGAGGTCAGGAAAGAATCTGGTCAGTAAAAGGGGATGAATAAATGATTGTTATTGTGTTCCAGATACATCATAAATTAAAGCAGCTTCCCTAACAAACGTGCAGCAAATGTTAACCGAATTAGGGGGTTATGACTTGTTTCAATTTTTCCTTTTCTAAACTGAACAGGCTCCAAGAAACCCGTCCCTGAGTGTATAGTGAGTGTGGAATCCATGAATATATTTCCAGTGGGTTGGTGTGAGACGAATGGATATCAGCTCAGGCCTCCTCGCAAAGCAATAGGTACCAGTTCTCTTCTGTTTGCAGTGTTGGGTTAGAGCTGGTGAGACCTGCCAGAGCAAATTACTGCAGAATTATTGCTGGCATTGCTGAGTTTGGAGACATTCATCGTGCACAGAGAATCTGTGTGTTGCACAACTGTGCCCCTGGCTGTTGGGGCCAGTTGGAAGCCGTACAACTTCAAACCCCTCAGTGTTGGCTTGAGGCCCCTGCACGCTGGAGGGACAATCCACTGACCATAACAAAGAAATCCTGCCTGTGTGTGAGCATCCCCCATGCTCTGCATTTACTTGTCTGAGCTGTTCTTGCCACGTGTCTGACCCTGATACTGATTTTAAATGTGCACTTGTACAAAGTAAAGTTAATGCCACAACAAAATAGGGTGGATTGTGTGCATATTTGGAGTCAAAATAAAGGGGATTGATATTCTCAATGGCCCAGGTGGTGATGATCCTTAATGATGAAGTGCTGAAGAGTAAACCCTGCCTTTTTAACTACACTAGTAGGTAGAACAAGGCAGTGTTTTCTCTCAACTGGTTAGTGAGACATGTTTGTTAAAGTTTAATGGGGGTTGGAGAAACTGAAGAATTTCTTCAATGTTCATTAAGTAAGATAAGAAAATTTTTAGATTGAAATGAGCTGTCATTTTCTGCAAGTCAAAGCAAGAGAAATTAATCTGCTTGCACTGCCAAGGAGAGATGAGGAAGAAGGGGGGATCCTAATTAGGTAAAAGATTATTTGAAAAAAAAAATCCAGAAGTTTGCTGGGGCCAAAGCCTGGAATTGCTGAAGAGGCATAATGTTGCATTACCTTGTTTTATTTTACTGCCTGGTTGTGAAAGCCAGAATTAGCAAGTGGACCCATCCCCTAAATGACTGACTTGGTTAGAATAGTGTTTTCCTGCATAGCAATTGGCTTAAGTCATTGGTGTTCCTAACCAGCTGATTTCATCCCACTTCAAAATTAAAGTACTGAAGTTACCGTGCCAGTAAAGTGGTACATTGGGCTGAAGAACATATTACCTTTGGGTGCTGCAAAAGAAAGCATGTCATTCCTTTTTTGGCTGGGAGTACAGGTGGTTATGGGGCTCTGATGCAAATAAAGAGGCACAGAAGGTTAGATTTCACAGAAAACTGGGCATATGCATGCTTGATTTAAAGAATTTTTAATGGAAGTTGGAATAAACCTTCTGGTTCTCTTCAAATGACTTGGGCCAGTGTAACTCTCATGCATCTGGGTCAGTTGTCTGACACTGCAGTGATGGGAACATAGATCCCTTGTGCTGTATAACTTTAAGAAATGAATCCATTGTATATATATATATAAACAATATATGTTTGTTCTAGATGCTTCATTTATTTGTCTGTCATATTTTGCTCTTTTTTTTTTTCTTTCAGTAAACAAGCAGAAAAAAATTGCAGTAGTCCAACCAGAGAAACAGTAAGTAACAGGTTATTTGCTCTTTTTTTTTTGTTGAGTTTTTTCTCTTTATTTTTCAATTGGAAAATATGCTGTGTTAGGGAAGATGTAGATTTTCAAAAGTGCTGTACTGAGGGTTGAGAGATTCCACAGTCCATTTGTGTTAGTGCTGATAGATTCTGCTGATGTTCAAAAAGAACTCTCAGCCTGCTCAGAAATGCTCTATGGAATGCTCACAGTTGGCTTTATTGACTCTTACAGCTTTACAAACACCAGAGCTGTCAGTAGCCCTGCCAGTGTTTGTATTGCTCCTAAAATACTGAGCAGACTGTTCCCCCATGTTTTGCAGTTGGGATCCTTAACAGAGTACTGGAGTCATTTTGGCTGTATTTCGTTTAAAACCCAGCTTTTTCAGAATGCATAAGGTGAGGCTACACTGCCTTGTGCTGGGAAATGTGACGTTAAAAGGAGCCAGGGGACATAAACTCCTGTGGTAGCTTTGGGAGGTGTCTGTCACCGTGGTGGCCCATGGACTTCAAGCAATGAAGGATTGCTGCTGGCTGTAGCAGGACAGAAGTCCTTTCCAAATGGAATTTGGTAGTTTCTGCATGTTATTGTGAAACAGGGGAGATATAAAAAGCAGGTTAATAAGGCTGGAGCTGAGGAAAATATGTGTTATGGTGTTTTAGTAACAGAGAGGTGACTGTCATAACTATCTGTCTGTTTTCCCAACCTCCTCCTTTCAATTTCAGAATTTTATCTTCAAGGACAGTTCATGATGGACTAAAGAACCAGGAACTGAACTCTTCTGATTCAGGTATTGATCACAGAGGTCAGACTAACAAAGGCAATATCCTGTAAGAGTTCACCTGCTCAGTCCTGTTAGGGGAGGGAAGAGGACGAAAGGGTTTGGAGATTTTCATCCCTTGATGATTTGTTGAACTTCAAAAATTAATGAAACAAACAAAAACTTGCAGTTACTTGTGTTCTGCATTTCATATGTGCATTAAGCCTGGAAATCAGATTCTTAACACCAAAACGTTGCCTCTCCAGCAGAGGATGTGTGAAGCTGAATGTGTACTGTGACCGTGCAGGTCACCTTCTATTGTCACCTGTATCACACACATACAGCAGGTGTGCTGTATCTGTGCTCAGAATTGTTTGATTCTGGCTTTGGGAAGCAGATCTCTCTGGTTTTTTTGTTAACTTCATCATGGTGATAAAACCAATTCAAACAGCAAACTGCTTTGTGTGCCAGATGGCAAAATCTAATAATTTTCTCAACTGTTGCAAGAAGGAATGTGATGAATAAGTACATCTGCTGGTGGAAGTCATACAGATCCATCCATTTGGCAACTCAGTGCCTCCTCCTCTGCTGTTTTCTGTACAGTGAAGTGCACATCTGAAGCTTCACTGAAAGCAAGACAAAAATTATGTGTCCTTGTTTATAATTTTAATTGGCTTTTAATAGAGTCATAATGTAAATTTTACTTCATTTATTTATCTACCAGTTTTCAACTGCTGAATTTAAGGTCTTTTAAGTGGTAGTGTTGCTCACTCAAGAAAAACTACAATGCTGCTGGGTAAAACAATATTGGTTTTGTACATAAATGTATTGCAATATATATTAATACTTGAATTTTGAGCAATGCTGAACCATTAAATAGATTCAGAGAGCTTGATGTCACTTCATCAAAGGTCAGTCTATCAGTTGCTACATCTTTTGTTTGTTAATCAAAGGAAATGAATCTAAAAATGCAAAAGAATGTGATGCTGCAGTTTGGTATAAACAGTGGAGAATAACTGCTAGTTTCTCTGGTGGCAGAAGTTTGGGGGAGAGAAAATTTACTGGAAAATATATCTGTAATTGCTGTGTATGAACTGCTTCTGCTACCATAGAGCTGGGATTGTCTTTGTTTTTTTTACTGGTATGATACCATGAGGCAGCAGACTAGCCAGGAGGAAATGTTTCTTTTCTGATACATGACCATCTTTATTTACTGCAGCTTGACAATTTGCAAGCACGGGTGTGAAGTATGAAAAATGTTTTGACAACGTGGAATAACTAATGCTGCCATTGCAAATGTGACATAGAAAATACCTCAAATCCCTGTCACTCAAGCCTTTTTCCCCTCCTTTTTTCCCAGCAGATAAACTGTTACGTACTGCGAGATTCTTTCCTGGGGCATTTGCAGCGTGTGATTTAAATGTTTGTTTTCTCATTTCTCACTTCTCAGTGATAATTAATGGCAAGTACTGCTGCCCAAAGATCTACTTCAACCACCGGTGCTTCTCGGGGCCTTACCTGAACAAAGGCAGGATTGCAGAGCTCCCCCAGTCCGTGGGACCTGGGAACTGTGTTCTGGTGCTGAAGGAGGTGAGCTGGATGGACACACTGCAAAAAGCAGTGTCCATCTTAAACACCAGAGTATCTCTCTAGTTGTAGATGGTAATTCAGAAATTTAAGCTGATGATAAGTAAAAGTGTGTCTTTTTGCATATAATAAAGTATAAATCATGAATAGTTTTATGAATGGCTGATAAGAGTAAAAGCCTCTCATTTAACTAAATAACACTCAGCCTTCTACTGCTAAATTTTATTTTCTGTTAAAACAGTATAACCTGTAATTACCACAATCAAAGGAGTTAATATCTTTTTATAGCTGTAATAAATGTTTCCATTTTAATTAACAGAATTTAGCTGGAGATAATCCCAAAATTCCTTTATGGTTTGCACTGTTGATGGTAAAACAGACGAAATACAGATTTTCTTAGTCAAAATGGCAAACTACATTCAGTAATTGGGGAATGAAAATAGTTATGTCTGCTTTTTAAGTTAGATACAATTTGCATAGATCAGGTGAAATTATAGTTTGGCTTCTTAATGTAATTGGGGGAGGAGGAGGCTGTTCTTTAATGCCAGAGAGCTTCTTCTTCAGAAGGTGTGTTTCACAGCAAATTTACAGATACTTTATTGTAATAATTATTTTTCTTAAATTTCAAAAAGGATCATGAGGTTGTTACTATCTGACCTGAGAGGCTGGAAATTTCCCAAGACATAACTAACTGGATATGCACACTTTTGAGCTGTCATGAAATGATCACTTTATATTAAAGAATTGGCTCAACATACCTGGCATTTTTACCTTCCCTCCAAGTATCTTTACTAGGAGAGACCTTAAGAAAGACTTTCTCACAAATATGCTGTAAAGCAAGAGTCTGGTTGTCAAGAATCAAGCAGACTATTGAAGAAAGTCCATTTTGGCATGCAGAAAAGTACCCTATCCCTCCTGCCTGTTTGAGTACTTTATTGTAAGAACTGCAAAAGAGCAAATGTGAAATTCTGTGGCAGCTTCATTTAATCTTGAAGGTTTATTCTGCTTCATTGCCTGAAAGCAGAAAGTGTGCACAAATCCTGTTGATGTGCAGGTGCTGAGTAGTGCTGAAAGTTCAGCCAGTATGCTCAGTTGTATTCATTTCAGTTGTGAGTGAGTCTTACTCACCGTAGGAATCCTAGAGAGAGTTTGGTGCTTGCATTATATTTCATGCTTTCCTTTGATTTCTGGACTGCTGCATTAGGAGCAATAAAACTGAAAATTTGTAATGTCAGGGTTGTTATGCACCCAGTTGGGAATGATTTGGAATAAGCACATAGTGAGAATAAAAATACAATTACAGTGCACACTTCGTACTATCCCCCACTAGCTTCAGGTTATTCACAACTTCCAAGTTACTTTACAGTACTCAAAAAATTATTATTTTATTAAAATACAGACCTTATCTTGGTTCTTGGAAGCAAAACAGATGAGAGTTTAGGATTCTGCACTATGGTTTTGTTGTTAGCAGTAGGTTAGCAGGCAGCAAAATCCTGCAGCGCTTTTTGGCACATCTTCACATGATGTACAATCTTTAAGATAATCGCTCAGATTTAGCCAAGGTTATGAAAGTTTGGGAGTTCTTAGCCCCAGGCATTAGTTTAGTGATGTGTAATTCAAGGGCAATGACTTGGAAATTGCTGGATACACTCGTGACTCTGCAGACAAATTCTGAGGGCTGGGAAGGCCCAAAGTGTCGGCTGCTCTCAGTGTTCATTTTGGCACTGTCAGGAGGTGTCTGTAATCCTGCTGTGAATGAGTGCTTTGATGCTAGATAGGAGTGAATAGGAGTAATTTCCTATTCTGCCCTGGCACTTTAAAACAGATTTATTGTACAAATAACTAACACATGTTTTCTGCTCTTCCCTCCCGCACTGTAGGTTCTCACTTTATTGATCAACGCCGCCTACAAACCCAGCCGTGTCCTGCGAGAGCTGCAGCTGGATGAAGAGGCTGCCTGGCATGGCCATGGAGAGACCCTAAAAGCCAAGTAAATTCTTCTCCTGTTCCCTGGGTCATCAGTCCCAGTAGCTGTTCTCTGCAGGCTGTGCTTTAGCTTACGTTTCAGGGGAGGAAAAATCACTTAGAACATATCAAGATGCCAACAGCCATTAAGTGTTGAATTCTTTATAAATTTCTTTATGAGTTCTGGTGGAGTGCATGTGATTTTAATGCTCCATAATTAGGCAGTATACTCTGCTACAGGCATGTGAGCAGCTAGAGACTGGTGTGGCACTGGTACAACATTGTACTGACAGACCTGTGGGTGAGGTTTAAGATTATTTAATTCATCTGAAGATAATTGTCAGTGTTTTAAAGCAAAAACATGTACTGCTTGGGAAGCTTCTCAGGCATTTCCACACAAATTTCTTAGTGGAAAAAGATTCTTCAGAAATAAAGTTAGAAGCTTTGAAATGGCCTGACATAGATGTCTTTCTACAGCAGTCTACCCTAAAGCACTCCCAGTTTTCCTGCTGAGCTTTTTGGGTTGAAGCTTCTTGCGAGATTACTTTTGCAGCTAGGAAAAGAGCACTGAACATATTTGCATATATTTGATAAGTCCAGATATTCCTTTATAGTCTAGGGATGGTTTTGTAATTAGGTCACTGTGTTTGCATATTAGAGATTAGATTTTTTCCAATGTGCCACTGCACACTTCCCTACATAATTTTGAACGTGTCAGTAATTCTTTTGTTGCATCAGTTTAATGTATAAAAAGACATATATCCATATACTGGAGGACTGCTCTGAACTGGGCAATAGGAAGATGACAAAGGTTAGTGTAAATAGAAGGTGTAGCTGAGGAATACAGAAAAACATATTTGTTTAGTCTTGCTGAAGTTCCTGTTTGCTTTATTTTGCCATAGTAGTGACAGCAGGGGTATCTGGACTATGATGATACACCTGGTTTTCACAAGGTATTAACTAGGTACTTGCAGGCCTGAAACATGTCTGGTAGATATCAGCACATGCTCGTAGCTGTGCTGGGAGGACAAGGCAGAAATGCTGAGCAGTTCTGGCAGATATTGCACAGTGCAGCTCTTTCAGTGTAATGGCAGTGTTGGTGAACAAAAAGGAGTAATTTCTTCATTAAAATCAAACAGGAGCAGTATGTGGAGTCATGCAAGTGACTGTCCCAGGGAATTGTTCAGCAGTTAGACAAAAGCTGATTGGAAATGTGGCAGTGGTCCCCTTGCCTCCATAGGATGAGCACAGAAAGGCTCGCCAAAAGCTGTCTGCTCTTACCTGAATGAGCTCAGTGCATGCTCTCAGCCTTGATTTGAGGAACCAAATTGAGCTGTCCATGTCACAGTGGGCATTTCTGCAGTCCCATAAAAGCAAAGATAGAGCAAACCATCTGTGAACAAAGAAAACAAAGTATCTGAACTGTGGGGCAGTCCCCTCAGATGGTGTTTTGTAGTTGTTGATAGGGCAGTGTTGCTGTGTTTGATACTGCAGCCATCTCTGTGATGGATTTTCTTTATCTGGGGATTTGACATAAGAGGCAGGAGCTCCTTGTTTCCTGGACTTGGCAGTCCTTAAAGTTTGTCATTGCTCATATTTTTTCTCAGTTTGATCTCAGTATTTTTGTACACCTTTCAAGGAAGTCCTTTTATCCTGGTAATTAGAAGATTCCTAATTATGACCTTATTTTCAATGCTAGATACAAAGGCAAGAGCTACCGCGCGACCGTGGAGGTTGTGAGGACGGCAGATCGGGTGGCAGATTTCTGCAGGAAAACCTGCATCAAGCTGGAATGTTGTCCAAACCTCTTTGGCCCTCAGATGGTTCTGGATAAGTGTTCAGAGAACTGCTCTGTCCTGACCAAGACAAAATACAGTGAGTAGTTCCCTGATCCACATCAAGGTGGAGTTTGGAGTGTTATCTTTTAGTTTCTTTTGGCTTTGACTCCAGAAGGAGCAGCTCAAGCTCTACATAAGAGAGGCCTACAAAATATTCATGTTCCACTGTGTAGGGGAGAAAAAAATAATTCTGAATTAAGTGGTAGAACCATGGCTTAACTTCTGTTGTGTGCTCAAAACTTTGTTTTTAAAACAACTTTTGGGACAAGAACTGACTAATGTTGTAATTTAACTGGCATTATAATTGATTTTGCCAATTTGTGGTGAGGAAAAAAATGTAACACCTTCAAGCTCTTTACTTAGTTTTTAGGGTTTTTGTAGACTGGCTTTAACCATTTGACAATGTGAGAGCAAACAGTGCATTGAGGCCATGTTTAAAAACTACAAATCATCATAAAAAGCACCATTAAATTGGACCAAATCCTTGATAATTTTTGTATAAAATAGGATCATTTGGGAGCTTCCCAGAAATGGAGGAAGTAAAACTTTACAGGACGAACAAAATTGATCAGTAACTCTTTTTCCTTAAACCAAATTGAAGTGGAAAATACAGACATACTGATTTTGAAGTTTTGCAGAACTGGGATTCATATTGGGAGGTGTCCTACTGATTTTCCAGTCCTGATGAGGGGCAAGCATAACTAGTGACACTGAAGGTGCGTTTCAGCACTGTACTCCTTTCTTCTGTCCTGGTAGCACATTACTATGGAAAGCGGAAAAACAAGCGGATAGGTCGGCCCCCGGGTGGCCACAGCAACCTTGAAGTAGCCATGAAGAAACCAAATAAAAGACGGAAGAGACGAAAACATTTCTTTGTTCATAAGAAAAAACGTTCTTCTACGTCTGTGGATAACACTCCAGCTGGATCTCCCCAGGTAGGACACTGCCAGCAGTGCTCACAGATCTGGGATGTGACCTCTGACTGCTTCATTTGAAACAGCAAACGTTAGGTCCTTGTACTTCGGGGTTACAGCTGCCTTTTTTCTTTTTTCCTAACTCTTCAGGGCAGTGGGGCAGAAGAGGAGGATGACCAGGATGAGGTGGATGAAGAGTCTATGACTGAGGACAGCACCTCGGAGCACCAAGACGAGCTGCTTGAAGAATCAGAGGTGTCAGAGAAGAAATCCCTATCATCATCTCCCACCCAGAGTGAACTGTCGCATTCCCTGGCTCAGGACCGAGACAAGCGGAAGAGGAAGCTCAGGACCTTCTCCTTTTCTGATGATGAAAATAAACCTCCTTCGCCAAAGGTAACTTGGGATGTCACTTTCTGCCCTGGCTTGCTCCCTGCTGAGCAAGCACCAAAATCTTGGGGGTATTAACTACAATAGGTGTGTTATCTCTTTCCTCATGAAGGGCGTTGTGAAAACTCTACAGAATAATTAAAATCTGTGATGTTTGTTATGGTCGAGTCATAGGATTGTAATAAAGACTAAGCATATGTGATGTTTTGGGAATTCTTTTGGCTTGTCTAGGACATAAAGATGGAAGTTGCTGAAAAGCTGCAGCTGGACAGTAACCCTCTGGAATGGAGCGTGGCCGATGTGGTACGATTCCTCAAATCCACTGACTGTGCTCCACTGGCAAGGATTTTCCTTGACCAGGTATCATTTTCTGTCTGTTGAATGTTGAATCTGTCACTTGGCTTTTTGTCCCCCAAGGAGTCAGGAAATCAGGTTCTGAGGAAACAAATACTTGTGCGACCTGCAGCGGTTTGAGAGGAGAGTTCAGGGAATGACCAGAATTTTCAGATTTCTAACTACTGGGGGGAGGGTATTTTGGTCTGCAGAGTATCTGAATCCTAAAACTAACAATAATGCTTACAACAAAGCACCATGACAAGAGTCAACATTTTATTTGCATCTTGGTTAAAATTTGCCATAAAACCAGTGTCTATTAAAACTGTACTATTAGAACTAATGGTTAGGGTGGTGTGTGGTGGTGGATGTTCCAGATATACTTCACCTTGTGGAACCTTTATTTCTACATAAAGATGCAGTGGTTGGTTAAAATTACTTTCTGCATAACATTCCCTTGGTTTCTATTGTTGGGTTGTATTTTTTACAATAGTATCTCCTGAGAGTCTGTGCCTCAGTGGGTTTGAGCTGGCATTTTAAGAAAGGAGTTAATTTGTTGTGTATGAGAGAGATTTTTAAGCTGCCTGGGAGAACATGAAAGAAACATCTAATTCACAATCAATCACAAATCTGAAATTACAGCAAGTCAAAGCTGAAGGAGCAGGAAGAATAACAACAAAGTCACTATGGAATTTTTGTCTTCTGACAGGAAATCGATGGCCAGGCACTGCTGCTGCTGACCCTGCCCACTGTTCAGGAGTGCATGGACTTGAAGCTTGGACCAGCTATTAAACTCTGCCATCACATTGAGAGGGTCAAACTTGCCTTCTACCAGCAGTTTGCAAACTGAGGAGCAGGCAAGTTGAAGTGGACCTTTGAAGCACAACTACAAAAACATGCTCCTTCCTCTCTAGCAAGTAAAGCCAAATGAACTTCAACTGAGGCCCTGGTGACCTAAAAGTGTGTGTCAGCCTCAGTTTTTTCTGTTTCAACAGAAGGAAGACAACATCTGGAGCAAAATGCCAATGCAAACACAGGGGCTACTCTACCAGCTGCCAGCTCGGGAACACAATAGTCTCTTGCTCTATGGTTCCCTTTTTTTAATGTATTTTTTAATGATGACAGAAAAGTCTCCTCTTGTGGGAAATGACATTTCAATAGTTCTGTTGGCACGGAACTTTAAAAGGAGAAACGGATCCTGTTTACGTTCGCATGTAGGCTGCCAGAAATAACCTTTCTGTTCCTGATGTTTCACAGAATCCCCTGCCCTCCCTGTGGATGAACACTTGCTTTACCACAGCACTGACTTTGGAATGTGTTCTTTGCACATTCGTGTGTTAATGTTGGGATTTTTAATGAATTTGTTCATTGTTAGGACAACAATGTGGCCACAGGGTTCTGAATGTACAGTATAGCAAGAGTGTGGTTCCTTTTGAAGTTTTTTTTGGGGTTTTTTTTTGTTTGTTTCACTGTTGTTGGTTTTGCTTTTGTTTTTACTACCTCTGTAGCCTGAACAGTAGAAGTGATTAACTAAAAGGGGAGGGAACTGCTCGTTCTGGACACGTGGTCCGTGGCTGCACAGCAGTCTGGCTTCTGTGGGCATGTCCAGAGTGCAAACCAATGTCAGCTTCTGTTCCAAAGCTTTAGCTGAAACTTCTATAGGCATAACCTGGATGTTTCCTTTTTTCATATGTCAGAAAACTGAATTATTTTGCACTTCTCTTACAGGCAGGCTGTAGGACATAAGGAAGGAAAGAGAAAGTGCCTCTGCATTTTCTATATTTGGGTTGTCAGATTGTTTTTTTTTTTTTAATTGTATGAAGTTATTTCCTTTTTCTTCTAGCAAGCAATTGGGCCATGTACTTAGAGCCTGTCAGCAGACTTTTGCTTTGCTACCTGAACATCTATTTAGAGAATACGCTGAGAAAACTGCAATTAATAGAGGACTGCAATATAGCTCTGCCAGTGTTTGCATTCTGGAAACTCCTACGAGCTTGACTTTGTATTTTTAACTATCTACAGATGCTCAGGATCAGACGTGATGGAAATTTGGTAGGTCTGCACAAAGGGATTTGTGTGCTTTTATTACAAAAAAGGAAAAGGGCCAATGGGACATCTTAGTTCCATCAGTAGACTCACAGTAGGATGAACTGCTGATTTTAATTTTCCATGGTAATAAAACCCAATCAGCTATTTGCTGTAGGCCAGTGCTTTACACTTGGAGTAACAGGGCTTACTTTACTTTCCATTAAAGGTGTGGGGAAACTCACATCAGGCTCAAGATCTGCATCAAATAAGTGTTGAGTTTCAGCTGGCTTGCATTCATTCACTCTGCCTGTTCTCAGAGTCTTTGGAGGAGCACAGGCGGGAGCTGGATGTGTGCAGCTCTGCTCCTTTCTGTCCTATTCAAATCCACCTCTGCAGGAAGCCCCTGAACTACAAATGTGTGAGTTGGGAAGGTGCTTGCTGCAGGAATGGGTTTAAGAAAGATGCAGTTATTGGGTTCTGATGAACAGGGATTACTCTGATCAAATGGAATGACTGGAGTGTCCCTTAAGGCCCAGTGTGATTGGCCATTCCAAAGCTGTGAGCTGCAGGATTCAGCAAAGATGTGGTTTGTGGGCTGAGAGCTGAGTTGGCACAGCCTGTGACTTTACCTGCCACTTTGGTGTTGAGGGGGAGCTGCCTCCAGTGAAAACTGCTGGGACTAAGCAGAGCTCAGTGACTGGGGGTGGTTAATTTTGCCCCTTAGGGTAACTGTCTAGTCAAGGCAGTACTAGTTACACAATTATTAAAATCAGATTTTTTTTTCATTCCAGAATCAAAATGTAAATGTCAGATTATTTATTAGCTGAATATTCCTGACGGAGGGCAGTGTGCAGCTAGGACAATTTTTCTCCCACATTGTAAGCAGAGTGTAAAGACACAATTAAATTGAAATCAAAGTGTCCCTTTTTCCTCCTTACACTGGATATGTGGCCAATAAATGGATGTTTTGGCTCTTCATATTATGCTTAGATCATTTGTCTGCACTCAGTCCCTTAGGACAAACTCATTCATAAGCCATTAGGCTTGAAAAAATTTCTAAAGAAACATTGCTGCTTTGCTGCCAGTATCTTGTCGTGAGAAATTTGACCAGTGGAGAACTTCTGGGCTGAAAGATGATGCTTTTTGGGTCAGTGCAGTAGAATAACCAGAGTTCTGTTGTCCTGATGCCTGGCAGGATTGACCTCCATAGCCAAGAGATGTTGCTTCCACCTTTTCCTATAGATAGATGTCTTTTTAAGTAGTTGTCAGGAGAGAGCAGAGCTGAACGTGCCATTTAGTGGACCTGTTAACAGGTGCCTGGGGTTTTAAATACAAATGTCATACTTCCTTTTCTCAGTAGATAAAACAGTCAGCAGTTTCAACCATTAGTGGGATACTTACTGGTCACCTTTGGCATGTTTTATAGGCTGGATTTTTCTGCCTTGTTTTGGGAGGCACTGACAGTCTGGTCCCAATGGGATCTATTTTTGTTGAGATTTTCAAAAGGGATCTTTTCATTATTTGTGAAATGTTTTTATGCTGCACACGGGTACTGTACACTCTGTTTCCTGGAAAAAAAAAATGCACTCTGTTTTATTGCTGGATTTAAAAGGGATAATTTGGGCTTTATCTTGATGGATGGTGTTTCTACTTGACTCTGTTTCGAGTTCCTCTTTCTCTATGTGTGGCAGATGACACAACTGCACTTGTTCATCTTACTCCACTATGACTTGAAATCAGCTCATGTGCTGCTTTAGTCACTCTTGTTTCTTCAAAACTGGATTTTGTGTAGCTGGTGGCTGAATCTTGGATTTGGGTGACAGCAATGTTCCACCATCAGAAATCACTGGGGCTGCACTAATTTAGGGTTCAGGGGTTTGTGCTGTCCTCTAGCACATAATTCACCATACAGTACAACAAAGCTGGAGTCCAGGAGAAAGGCACTGATGTTCCACAAAGGTCTCCAGTACAAGAAAATGAACATGGAGCCTCGTTAATGTGGCTGGTAACAGGAGTTTACCATTGGCTTGACCCACTGAGGGTTTGGGTTCTTGCTTCTCATGTTTTCATACGCATTGTGCAATCTTTGGTTTGCACATTGTAGCTTTAGAAACCCGATGGTGCCACTTTGACTGTGCTAAGCTTAGCCTTGTTAGGCAGGAGGATTTTGTTCAGTCACTGTTGTGTGCTTTCTGCACCAACTTAAGGATTCTGTAACAGAGAAGTATTTGACCTCCAAAAATGCCATGGAAGCTTAATGTGATAGAATCATTCCCAAAGCACAAGCAGCTTGCAGTCCATCCTAAACTGAAAGCAGTCCTTCCAGGAGAGGAGAGGTACAGCACTGATCTTGGTGAATGAAGACTACTTTTTTCCTATCTCTAAACATTTCTGAAAGTTCCTCTTTGAGGGATGAAATAAAAGGCAGATTAATTCCTGTATTGTATAGAACTCTAGGAGTGTTTACAGTCTCTCCTGGGGTTAATGGAAACAGTACATACAGAGTTTGGGAGCGGTTTTAAAGATTACATACTCTGTCACAACTTTTAGCAGTATTTTGTTGTTGTTTTAGGATTTGCTAGTGTTTGTTCTTTATTCCAGTGATGCTTTAAAGGAGGGAAGGAGTATTTAGCTGCTAGGTCCACAGAAGTGTAAATATATTTGCAGTTGATTGGACTGAGCACTCCATTCTTCTGTGACTATGTATGAAGTACAAGCCTTGGTACTTCCTTAGCAGAAAGCCCAGTGGCTTGTGAGATTTTTGAATGTAATGGAATAGGCTTCAAAACTATCGAGCTTGAGTTGGAGACTGGATACCTTTGGACCAAATCTGTTGTTACTAGATGAAGTAGCCTTACCAGAAAGCCAAAAATATGATCCTGTACAAAGCTACTCCTTAACCAGTCCTGTCACAAAGTGTCAGCCTGGTTACTGCCTACTGTGAGCTCAGATTACCTGAAAGTAACTAAGCACAAAGACATAGGCTCGGTCAGGAGACTTCAGATGTAGGATGAAGGCTCCCCTTCCGAGGAATTGTGTGCTGACCCCTTGTTTCAGAGTGCTGCTGCCCTTCCCCAAACATGCATGTAGCCTTGTTTTCAAAGGCAGCCTTTTGGGTGAAGGATTGCAATGGGACTTGGGAACACCAGAGACAACAAGCATCTTTTATTGTTGTAAAACCAAAATACCTATCTGTATGAAACACAACAAATATGAATTAAGGTTAGTGACACTTTGTCTCCATGGTCATTTGTAGCTTCCTCAGCACCGTATCTTTTCTGAAATGCAACAGACGTACAAGTGGACTTTTGGTGAGAAGACAAAGTTGCTCTGTTCAGGTGCTCAGCCAGCAGTGTTTGGTGCAGCTTTAAGCCATGGAAGCGAGCAGATCTTGTGCTGACAAAGTCCCAGGGCAGTGGGTCTGAGTGACTTAGCACAAACAGTGGCACCCCTCTGGCCTGGCACAGACCAGGGGAGCAGCCCTGGAGCTTGGGGACAGCTCGTGGCATGGGGTCAATACTGAGCTCTGGGAACAAAGGAATTCTCACCCACTCTGAAAGTTGTTGAGCACCAGTTTCCAAGAAGCCTCATGGCAAAAGAAACAAAATATCTGGAGGTGTCATGTTTCTCCTCTCCATTTTAATTTTTTTTTTGTATTTTCTGTTTAAAATAAATTTTAAATAATCTCTATAGACAATCAGAGGTCTTCTAGGAATCTCTACCCAAAAGGGTGCCAGCTCCACACCTGTGGGCCTCTTTCTTATACTAACTCATTGGAACTGATGCACTTTTCCTGTATTTTGCCTTTTTTAATTAGCTGCTTGTTCTTAAACAAAGATTTAAATGCATATTGTGTTGTGTCCCTTCTGCTTGTTTTACCTTTCTTTATCTTTTAAAAGAAAAAATATATATGCAGTGAGACTGAAGTACTACATGGAAGAGAAACATGCACAAGAAAATATGCCTATTAAGTCCCACCATTGTTTGAGCAGGTGTAACAATTTAATCAGAGGATTTTTTAAAAAAATATTTTGGATGGATATTATACTTGTTTTGTCTGTAAATAGTGTACAAAAGTTTGTGTTATATGACAGTTTTAAGTGGTTGTAAGAAAATTAAAAAAGATACTTAAACTGTTACTGATGGCTTTGGTATTAATATCATAAATACTGCTGCTGACCATGAGCAATTTTCCATCTTGAAAAACTGTGGAAAGTTATCTGGTATGTTCCATTACTTGCATAAAAAGTAAATGCAAGCCACATAAATACCACTTGGAGAGGCTTCATGTGGAAGAGATTGATTGGGTTTATTCAGTTCCCTCAACTGCAGGAAGTTCTCTTTATCAAAGCTTCTTCTAAGGTAACAGGTTTTGTTTCACAGGATGCTGAATCCAATTAATATACAGGAGCTGAGGACAGGACCTACAAATTGGAGTAATTTTCTTTTATTGCCTTCTTCGAACTTTGGAAGCTGCTTGATACGATCCACTGCAAACCTCGCAGGCGCTGCAGCTCCTGGATGGTTTTGTAAAGGTTAGTGCTACCCCAGCAAGCTGAAATTTTAAAACAGGCTTTGCTTCCTCTGAATAACATGAGGTGTTTCAGAAGACTTTGCCTTGCAAAGTTCTTGTCTCCTTACTTGGCATTCCAACAGATTGTACTCAGCACTTGTTTCTTGGCTGCACTTCAGTTACCATGAGCTGATTTTACATTGGGTGGAGAAAATGCATAGGAGTGGGATGAAACTGATTTGCTTAACACTGTCTTTAGACCTCTATAAATATGTAGGATTTAACATAAATCTTCTACTTGCCTTCACAGAGCACTGTCTGCTTGAGAGAAATCTGAAGGCTTGTGAATAGTACATAGCAGGAGGCAGTGGTTTGTCTGCCACCGGTTTCAGAAGGGCTTATAGGAGTCATGATGAGATGAAACCCTTGAAGAGGCATTTTGGGGGAATGATCTGGTTTAAAGCATGGAAGTAACACGAGGCATAAGCCCTTTGAGTTATGTTTCCGGATTCATGTCTGAAACATAAGTTTTATGTGTAAATAGCATTAGGTATATCTTTAACCAGTATTGGGGTTAAGGTCAGGTACGTGTGGGGGATGTGTAACATTCAGCAGCAGCTGTGAAAGCCAAAAAACCACCCTGGGCCACAAGCAAATAGGTCAAGCTCAGGTTGCAAATGCAGTGCTTGTGTGCAAGGGGGAGAAAAAGCAACCTGCTTTGGTCCGTGTCTTTTCTGTTAGGTAACTATTTGCTTTCCTGAGCTCTTGCTTTTGGCAGCTCAGAGCAGAAGAGTGTTGACCTAGGGCCAGAGGCACTGGACAGAGCATTTTGGCTGTGTGCTTTCTAGGTCAGAGAGCTGAGAGCATTTTTTTCTAGCTGCAACTTCCAGATATTTATGACACAGCCTAAAAATCAGAAAAATCACTGTCGTGTGCCAATACTGTTTGGTATCACCTGCCAGGAAGGACAGTCACGTACATAGGTTTGCAATGCAGACACAACAAATGTTATTTAAAGAACTATTAATTCATGTGCTTGGCTTTGCTTTCTGATAGACTTAAACATGTGCTTTCCAGGTCATATTTATAAGCGAATTCATATTTAGAGAGGGATTTTAAATTATTTAGAGAAATTAAAGAAATTGTGTAAGAAAGCAGTACAATGGAACATGACCTGGGTTGATCCCACACTAAAAATAAGACCCTAAACTCGATGAAGTTCTGCCTGGTGAGGATGAAGAGGGGTACAGCGCAATGGGGTCAGTCGAGACTCGCTGGCCAACAGGTCCAGTTTCACCGTTTTCCAAATGAAAGTGCCGACACGTTTTGTTTAATCCATTGGAGTGGGGGTTGCGTTGTACCAAGAATGAAACATTTGTGCTAAACAACCCAGGTCATACTTTCCTCTTGCGAGGGTGATAGCAGCCTTGCCTGACCCTGTGCGGTCTGGGCTAAGCAAAGCCTCCGGTGCTGTGGTTCTTAGCCGGGGATTCCTCGGGGCTGTGGTGCGCTTTAGAAAACGGAATGGACGCTGGAGCCGGACCGTGTGGGGCTGCTGGAGGTGGACGGTGTGTGGATGCTGGAGGTGGACGGTGTGGGGCTGCTGGAGCCGGACGGTGTGGGGCTGCTGGAGCCGGACGGTGTGGGGCTGCTGGAGCCGGACGGTGTGGGGCTGCTGGAGCCGGACCGTGTGGGGCTGCTGGAGGTGGATGGTGTGGGGCTGCTGGAGGTGGATGGTGTGGGGCTGCTGGAGGTGGATGGTGTGGGGCTGCTGGAGGTGGATGGTGTGTGGATGCTGGAGCCGGTGTGTGGATGCTGGAGCCGGACCGCGTTTGGCAGCTGCCCGCAGCACCGGGCACTCCTCTGCCGGGCTCCTCAGCCGGCTCTGCCCGAGCGCGGCGGGCAGCGCTGGGGCTGAAGCCCGGGGAGCCGCGGGCGGAGCGCTGGGGCCGGGCGGGCCGAGGGGCGGCGCGGTGACGCGGCGGGCGGGCAGGGGCGGAGCGGCAGCGGGGCCGGCACGGCCGCCATGCGCCGCTGAGGGCGCCGGCCGGGCCTCGCCATGGGGGCGCCGCCGCCCAACGGCAGCCTCGGCCTCAGCGCCGGCACCCCGCGGCCCAACGGGGCGCCGCCGGGGCCCGGGGACCGCGGCTGCGAGAACGGCGCCCTCATGGACCGATTCGGCATCTTCCTGCAGGGGCTCCTGGGCGTCGTGGCCTTCAGCACCCTCATGCGTGAGTGGCGGGGCCGCGGCCTCTGGCCTGACGGGGAGCGGGCGGGCGGCCCGAGCGCGGGTCGGGCTCGGTAGCGGGACCGCGGCCGCGCTGCCCCGAGGCCGTCCCGGGAAGGGCCGGGCTGTGCCGGGCTGTGCCGGGCTCCCGGCCGGGCAGGGCTCGGGAGGGCCGCGGCGGGCTCGGGGGGCGCTTTGTGGGTGCCGGGTGAGCTGGAGTGGGGCCGTGCGGGGAGGCCTCAGGGGCGGTGGCTCATGTCCTTTGGCGTTCACAAACTTGCCTTCCTGGCGCTCGTAGCCGTGCTGGTGGAATTTATCGGGTGGGTGTGTGTTCTGCCTGGAATTGTGCCAGCAGGAGGAGGTGGCGTGTGCGGAGCCGCTCGGGTTTGGGATGTACACAAGTCACGGGTTTGGCTGAGCAGGTTTACTGCAGGTGCACCGACCCTGTCATGTCACCAGCAGCAAAGTCACACTTGTTTCGATCGTGCCTCGCTTCCTTGGAGGGCCATTCCTGGGAGCTGGAGCAGTGTGGCCGCTGGCAGGGCTCAGCTGATGGGCAGCACTCAGCACTGCTCTTTGATTGTGGTGGAAAGGCAAGGAAGGTTTTTGGTGGCTCCAGCCCTGTGGTGAGGGAGTCGCAACAACGTGAAACAATTCTGGTGGGTCTGTCTCTATCTCGTGGTCTAGTTAGTATCCTTTGGGTGGAGGAGTGGAAAAGAAGCCCAGTGTCATTACTCAGCTGACTGTGACCTTGCTGGTAGCAAAAGGTGGGAGAGGAAAAAGAGAACACCAGGGACATGTTTGACAGTTTGATCTAAAGACTGAGATCCTGTTTACATTAGAATTGCGCTGATGCCTTTTCATGCTGCTGTCATACTATTATTAACTCAGATGTTTGCTAACAATTATATTTGCATGCCTTGGTGTCTTAGTTACTATTAACAATTACATTGCTCTCCGAAAAGTTATGTGTGTAGCTGTCATCCTGTGGCTGAAAGGCAGCAGTAGTCAGCAGTGTAGCATTTCGTCAGTGGCAGCAGCCTCATAATTAGAAGTTTTAGCAGTTTCCAAACAGAAGTACCTCTGTGTAAGAAGGTGATGAGTGCACAGTGTTAGTGTTAGATTTAAGGGATACAAATAGGTAATTTTAATGGATTGGACATCAAAAGACGAAGAACTACATATGTTAGTTGTCAGGATGGTACCTTTTTTGCTGGAAATAGTGTTTTTATGCATATTACAGTATCACTGCACTAAGTGGTGACAAGAAAAAGCAAATATAAAAAGTTGGGAGTAGAAAAATGAAAACCTTGTTGTTGGCTGCATTTTCTGACTTGGGTTAGGTACTGTTAAACCATGAACTGGGAGGAGACTGTTGATGCAGTTGTGGCAGAAGGGAGTGGAAGGCAGCCAGTGTACTAGTGAGAAAGGAGTCTGTGTCCAAAGCAGACTAGAGCAAAAACATAGTAGCTTATCATTCTTAAAAGTGCATATATTCAAAAACGTATGCACTGGTTTGTTTGTCCCAGCTTTACCAGCCATGTTCTCTTCCACAGTATTTTGTGCCTCTCCCTGAGCAGGAGGAGAAGTTGGTGACACCACATGGGCCTGTTACAGTGGTACAAAAGCAGCTCTCTCTCTGTTAGGGGCTGTTTTGTACAAAAATTCTGTCTGGTAGCTTTTCCGGAATGTTTCTATTCACCAGCATCATAAAGTCACCTCGGGACACCTTTTTATGTCATATGCAGAACACCTAATGTGTTGTTCCAAACCCTTTAAGGTTTCCTCAGCAAATAGGACTTTTCTGTGACAGGTAAGATGTGACAGAAAAGCAGGGACTTGTGGCTGAGAATGGAGGGAGAGCATGACCTCAGCAAACATCTGGGCACCTGCACAGCTATTCCTGCCCCAGGCTGCTGTGGCAGGAGGGGTGACAGAGCTGCTGGAGCTGCATCACAGAACTGGATTGCAATTAACCTGGAGTAGTCTGGTCCTGTAACTGTCTGGCACAAGAGAGGCTCTGGCACAGAGGGAGAAACAAGTAGGCAGAGGCTGCTTGAGATTTGTGACTGCAGTCAGGCCCCTTTGGAACAGCAGTAATTCTCTGTGTGCAGCTGAATCATTTCTCCAGCTCTTGCCTTACCCATGACTGTCTGGTATTTAAATTTAATAAGGAGGAAGTCACTTGTCTTCTTTTGTTTCTTTTTTTGTAAGGAAGCAATAGAAGGAGATGTTCTAATACTTCAGTTGTGATTAATGGCACTGAACCCTCTGTAGTAAAAGAAATTAAAGTAATGGCACCAGAGATACATGGCACAATTGCTCTTTATGCACAGAAACTGTCTTTCTTTGAAAAATATTCAATTTGACATGTAAAGAGTAAGACATTTTGGTAAGTG